CTAGACATCCTCACGATCTGCTCTCCAAGCGAAGGACGTTGAGACAGAAAACAAGCAAACCGCTTGAGACATCCCCACAAAACGGCCGCGAACGGGACCGTGTCATACCCTTTGGCGGCTCCCCTTGGGGGGTGCTGAAACCAACGCCCCGCCTGAGACATCATCACAATCTGCTCTCCAAGCGAAAGATGTTGGGACAGCAAACAGGCAAACCGTTTGAGACATCCCCACAAAACGGCCGCGAACGGGACCGTGTCATACCCCTTGGCGGCTCCCCACAGGGGTGCTGAAACCAGCGCCCCGCCCGAGACATCCTCACAATCTGCTCTCCAAGCGAAGGATGTTGGGACAGAAAACAAGCAAACCGCTTGAGACATCCCCACAACACGGCCGCGAACGGGACCGTGTCATACCCTTTGGCGGCTCCCCGCAGGGGTGCTGAAACCAGCGCCCCGCGTGAGACATCATCACAATCTGCTCTCCAAACGAAGGATGTTGTGACAGAAACCAAGCAAACCGCTTGAGACATCCCCACAACACGGCCGCGAACGGGACCGTGTCATACCCCTTGGCGGCTCCCCACAGGGGTGCTGAGACCAGCGCCCCGCCCGAGACATCCTCACAATCTGCTCTCCAAGCGAAGGATGTTGGGACAGAAAACAAGCAAACCGCTTGAGACATCCCCACAACACGGCCGCGAACGGGACCGTGTCATACCCTTTGGCGGCTCCCCACAGGGGTGCTGAAACCAGCGCCCCGCGTGAGACATCATCACAATCTGTTCTCCGAACGAAGGATGTTGGGACAGAAAACAAGCAAACCGTTTGAGACATCCCCACAAAACGGCCGCGAACGGGACCGTGTCATACCCCTTGGCGGCTCCCCTTGGGGGGTGCTGAAACCAGCGCCCCGCCCGAGACATCCTCACAATCTGCTCTCCAAGCGAAGGATGTTGGGACAGAAAACAAGCAAACCGCTTGAGACATCCCCACAACACGGCCGCGAACGGGACCGTGTCATACCCCTTGGCGGCTCCCCATAGGAGTGCTGAAACCAGCGCCCCGCCTGAGACATCCTCACAATCTGCTGTATGTTGAGTAAGTCAGACAATGAAAAGGTCTGAGTATGAGTACGTCTGGGTATGAGTGAGTCTCAGCATGAGTACGTCTGCATATGAGCAGGTCTGAGTATGAATAGGTCAGCGTATGAGTAAGTTAATACGATCAGGTCTGAGTATGAGTACGTCTGTGTATGAGTAAGTCTGTGTATGAGTAAGTCAAGGTATGAGGAGGAGGAGAAGAAGAGGAAAGAGGAGTAGGAGGCGCCCAAGTAATAACAAAACACCCATCTTAGGATATGGAGAAATATCCCGCGTGTGCGTACACCTACCAGGTATTGCCGGCAACACTCGCAGCGTCGTCCCCCACGGGCGGCATCGAATGATTGCAAACAAGGCACGACTGAGGGGAAGGAGAGAGGAAGGAGGAACAGAGCAGAGGGCGAATACGCATTCACAGCCAGCTGGCTACCCCAGTCCCCGAACCCAGCGCACAAAACAAGAAAAGACGAAGCTCAATGCCCAATACGATACTGGCTGAAAGTGCGAAACGTGAGCAATCGGGTGGCATGGCTGAAAACGTGATTTACCTTGTCGGTCGAGATGCGGGGACCGAAACCACCAAGCGGATGGCACGCAGCTGCAGCATCGAAGAGGAGAGGGAAGGCCGAAAACAGGACCTAGCCCACCGAGGCAGTGACTTCCCTTCTCCTTCCAGGACGCGTAGCACGCTGAAGCCTCGATGCTCTCTGGTCGCCTCGGCGCTCTCTGGTCAGGGCGGGCAACGACCAGGGCCGCGGCCAGATCCCCAATCGCCTGAGAGATCTCGCGAAAGGCGCGGGCTTCGGGAATTCTGGCAGGGCGCTCCTTGGCGTTGATGCCCCCAACTGGCATCTGTGCATAATATAGGTTCATGGTCTCTCCCTCTAAACTGCCCAGGTCGCTGCGCCTGATAAATGTGGCGCAGGTCAGCTTCCACCATGCGAACGAAATAACCGTGCAACGCATCCAACCGTGGGGCAAACTGACTAATGTGGGAAGGAAATCCCTCCCTCGCGTCGTCCCCAACCAACTGAAAATCGGGTTGGGGCTCATGGGTGGCCCCTCCCATGGGCGACAGCCTGCGCGAGCTGGGGGAAGCCCAGGAAAGGCCTCGGGCGCCGCCAGGGAGAGCTGCTGCAACGAACGAGGGTGAGCGCGCAGAAAGAAAAGGATGGAGAAACGAGGTCGGGCCGCCCAGTCCTGCTCAGCGCGCGGAGCCAGGCAGGCGGCCGACAAGGACGGCGATGCCAGCCAGAAGCCGATCAGACGATATTTTCCACTAGCCGAGCGACAGGTGCCTTCACCGTGAGGCGCATCGCACTGGGCAGGGAAATGCTCGAGGATGCCTGATTCCTCGAGGTTGGCAGGGGTGGCGTCCCAATCCCCAGCTGCTTCGAAAGGCTGGGCAAAAGGCCTCATAACCTCCGCTGCTCGCAGTATCCTCTGCACGTTAGCTGCTATTGGCGCCGACGAGCATTAGAGATGCACTGCGCCGGTGACAATTTCTCCTGGACTGGCAAGATCGGCAGGCACTGCAACAGCCCACGATGGAATGACTTCGCATCCCCTGATGCTCGACGAACTGTTTAGCAAGCGCGTGCTGACACAAATGCGCACGAAGAGGCCGACTCCTGCACTGGGCTGTCCCGACTCAAGGCGACGGCACGGCGAGCGGCAAGCCTTCCAGCCTCTGGTATCCGCCCGGGTCGTAGCCGCCGCGAGACCCCCACCGTCGAGACGCAACTCCTGAGCAGCCACCGCCAAATCATCCGTCGAGACCTGGCCGAGGTGGTCCTTGAACGTGTTCCAGCACGGGCCGTTGTAGGAGGCGAGCTGAATGCTCCGCTTGCAGGCCGTCCGCGGGACTCGCCTCCTTGACCAGCTGACCCAGTGCAGGCTACGCAGGCCTCGCTGGCGACCATGGCTGCCCACCGCCATCAGGGGGGGGGGGGGGCTCCGGGCGAAACGCGCCGTGTGTGCCAGCCGCGACCGAACCCATGTCGACGTCCTCACGCGCCGCTTGCGCCTGATGTGGAGCGGGAGACTCAGTCGCCTCCTGGGCGCTCGCAGCCAGGGCGGCCCGCGAGGAGGCGACCACGCCTGCCATCGAGCCCACGTACGCCGTGAGCAGGTGCACCAGCTGCGCCGAATGCTGCCCCGCCACGCCACCAGACGCCTGCTGCAGCACCCCGCAGAGGCCCTGCAGCTGCGCCGCCAGCGCCAGGTCCGCCGGCGGCGTCGTGGGCGCGGGCGTCGGCCTGGCCAGCGCCCAGCGGGCGTCGTCGACGTCCTTCTCGATCTGGGCGATCCCCGCTGTCACGATGTCGCGCTGCTGCCGCGCGGCCGTGACCTTGACCTCCGGCTCCTCGGCCGACTTGAGCAGCTTGGCGTGCTCCTCACCATTGGCCTGCAGGCCGTCGAGGGAGATTCACAACACGTCCTCGGGGCGCAGGGCCGCGCGCGCCACCGCCTCCGTCCGGGACAGGTCCTGCCTGGCCAGCGCGATGATGGGGAGCCCCCCTCGTAGCCGAGCTTGCGCAGGGACGCGAGCGCCTTGCCACAACGCTCCACTTCCCCGTCCACTGCGCAGCTGCCCTTGGCCGAGGCGGGCACCGAGCCGCAGCGGGAGCCCCTCCACCGCGAGGCTTGCCCCGAGACCTGGGCCGAGAGGGCACGCGACCACCGGCAGCGCGAAGAGCCCCCCAGGGCCTGGCGCACGCCCTTGGCGATCCCGCCCGCAGCGGTAGCAGGTCGCCACACTGCCTGGTCGCCATGCGCGCCCATGTGGCACGTCCGCCGCCGCCACGCGGCCTTCGCGCGCCGCGTCGCGGGGAGCGCGCTCGCCGAGCAACGAACTATTCCTCGCGCATCGCGTCGAGCTGGGTTCTTCGCGCGCGCACGCGTCGCATCGCCCATGCATCGGCCTTCGCGCGCCGCGTCGCGGGCAGCGATCTCGCCCAGCAACGTGTGCCGAGGAGCCCCCTTCCGAGGAGCCGCCTCCAGCGCTGGCGGCGCCGCACTGCCAATGGCGCGCCAGCCATGACGTCCGCGGCGCGCGGGAACCGCAGGACGCCGCGCGCCTGCGCCCGCCGCCTGCGGAGGCGGCGATGCCACGCGGGCGATCGAGATCTGGGAGGGCCTAAATTGGCTCTGGATTCGCACTCTACCTGCAAGGAGGAAAGACTGGTCTACTCTGCAAGAACGGTTTTTTGAAGGCAGATCTGCCTTCACAAAAACCGTTCTTACGGAGTGGAAGAATGACTGACGCCACGCGAGGCGGGCGTTCAGCTAGGGGCGCAGGGAGAGAGCGGGCCGACCCCTTCGGCCTCGCCAGAATCACCTGGGCCACCTGGAGGAGGAGGAGCAGGAGGAGGAGGAGGAAGGAGGAGGAGGAAGAGGAGAAGGAGGGAGGATGAAGAGGAGGAGTGAGGAGGAGGAGGAGGAGGAGGAGGAGGAGGAGGAGGAGGAGGAGGAGGAGGAGGAGAGGAGGAGGAGGAGGAGCAGGAGCAGGAGGAGGAGAGGGAAGAGGGAAAGGAAGACGACAAGTAAGAAGGTACACATGGTGGTGGTGATGATAATGGCGATGGTGATGGTGGTGGTGATGATGATATTGATGGTGGTGGTGGTGGTGATGATGCTAATGCTGATGATGTTGTTGATAATGTAATGATGCTGGCGATGATGATGCTGATGCTGATAATGCTGTCAATGCTGTTGCTGATGATGCTGATGATGATGATGAGGGCGATGATGATGATGATGATGATGATGATGATGATGATGATGATGATGATGATGATGATGATGATGATGATGATGATGCGATGATGATGCTGATGCTGATGCTGATGCTGATGCTGCAGCTGATGATGATGATGGTGGGGGAGAGGAGGAAGATATCCTCCAGGAAACACTCGCGGAAGTTGATCGACACCTGGGAGGGGGGCGGGAAACAGGCAAGACAACGGTCTTCGGAGAGGCGCGGCGGCACTTCGTGCCGCTGCCGCTCCTGCTCCCATTCCCCTCCACTTCCTGCCTGCTCCTCCCTCTCCTCCTTCGTCTCGTCCTCGATCCTGCCACGTCCTCCTCCTCTTCTCCTCCTCTTCCTCTTCTTCTTCTTCTTCCCCTCTTCCTCCTCTTCCCTTCCTCTCCTCCCCCACCCCTCTCCTCTCCTCTCCCTTTTTCTTGTCTCCTCTCCTCTCCTCTCCTCTCCTCTCCTCTCCTCTCCTCTCCTCCTCCCTCTTCCTCCATCCATCCTGCCTCCTCCTCCTCCTGCTCCTCCTCCTTCCCCTCCCTCTCCTCCTCCTCATCTTCCTCCTTATCGTCCTCCTCCTCGCCATCCGTCCCTCCCTCCCTCCCTCCCTCCATCCCCCTCCTCCCTCCCTCCCTCCTCCCTCTTCCTCGTTCTCGTCTTCCTCCCACTCGTCGTCCTCGCCCCTGTGCGCCGCTCCGTCTCATCAACGGAACGGAGCCCGAGGGCAAAGGGCGAGCTCCGGCCGAGGCCCGCGGGGGGGGGGGCACTGGCGGGGCGCCCGCACAGACCGCCTGCGAAGGGCACCTCTGCCGAAGCAGCTTGCGGCGGAGCTCGTGACGGTACTAGGAATAGAGGAAAGAGAACTATGCACATACACCGATTCTGGCCAGGACCATCCTGAGCCCAGGAACGGTGCATACGCCCTCTTTCCTCGGCCAGGAAGGTATATGCACCGATCCTGGGTCAAGGATGGGCGTTGTCAGGATCGGTGCATGTGCATAGTTCTCTTCGCCCGAAGGAAGGCACCAACTATACACCAACACCGATCCTGGCCAGGATCGGTGTTGGTGTATAGTTGGTGCCCTCCGAGGTACTGCACTACCTTCGCGTCCCATGCCGCCGCTGACTCACACAAGGGAACCGACAGTGATAAGCATAAAAAAAACACGAAAGTCCGCGCGGGCTTCTCGCATCGGCGCCGAAGCCCCCTGGCGGCGCCTCCGGCGCCGCCGCTGGCGCGCTCCGCGCGCCAAGGAGGGGTCCAAGAAATCGGCGCCGACTTCCGAGTTTGTATGTTTACACCCTGCGAAATGCTTAAGAAATCATGGGTTAAGAAATTCATAGTCTCAGAACTTGAGTAGAAGCCCAGAATTTCCATCGAAATCTTAGGATTTACATGGAAACGTTAAGAATAATCGAGACTCTGGCCGAAAACTTAAGTTTTCTTAAACATCGCCTGAGGTGTATGCCATTGTTTGTTCCCCGATGGCAGCGATGCTCTTTGGGTCCAGCTCGCCGCCTGGGCGTCGGGCATCGAACGTGGCCGCACGCTCGCCGGACCCTTCTTCCACGACCACGGGCGCTTCCGGGCGGCACGAGGCGGCTGCGGCGACTCTTCGCCGTAGGCGTCTTTGCCAACGCGCCAACGCTGTGCTCGAGCTGGACCGATCCGTGGAGGCCATCCCCCCTCCCACTCCGACTTCTCCTGCTGCTGCTCCTCCTCCTCTTCCTCTCCCTCCTCCTCCATCCTCGTCTTTTCCTCAAAAGATAGCTCCTCCCTGCCGCACTCCGAGGCGTGTCGGAAGGGCGGGCCGGGCGTTTCGCCTGAGACTTCGTCACCATGTGTGATCCTTGAGCTGATAATGTGCAAGAGCTTCACGGATGGAGGGCGGGCAATTTGCAAAATGGGGCTCTCGCCGCAGCGCCGCGCTCATACGTCTGAAGGCAGTTCCCTCAATGGACATGAACCGTTGCTGGGGCTTATGAAGAGGGAGCCTGGAGGGAGGATTAATTCCAACATGGTTGACGACTCATTGGTTTACACTGGTCCTCCTCCTCCTCCTCCTCCTCCTCCTCCTCCTCCTCCTCCTCTTTCACTTCTCAGACTGCCCGCTGCCTCTCTACGCATTTCTCGGGGAGGGAGGCGGCGAGGATGTGGGGGGGAGTGGAGGAAGGTTCCCAGCGGGGGGGGGGGGGGCGGGCGCACCACACAGAGGTGGTAGGCGCCCCCCGCCCGCTGGACGCAGGCTTCTCTTCTCTGAAGTGGGGTCCACCGCCGAGCGGGGCTGCTGGCTGCACCACCCCCGAGACAGCTGGGGGAGGGCTCGCTGGGGGCAGCCCGCTGAGCCGTCCGGAATTCAGGGCGTGCATCCACATCCCACCTGCAGCCCTCCTCGAAATCCAACGCAAGCTTGCGATACAACTCCCTCGCCCCCGAATTTCGGTGCTGATGGAGGCGCGCAACGGGCAACACAGCAATTGCAGTCGCCGGTTTCGGCGTCGGCACTGAGATCGGGGGCCCGGTGGCGTCGCCTCGAGGGAAGCGCTCGCGCTTGATTGGGGCGCGAGGGGCCTGGGAATCCAGCCAGAATTGGCCCGCAGACCTCCCACGGCCGTGTCCTTCTGCGGTACTCGGCCATCCCTGCTTCCCTCCTTCCCTCCTTCCCCTCCTTCGCCTACACTCCTCCCCCCCATTCGCCCTTCGCCTCCTCCGTTCCACTCCGTTCCTCCCCTCCTCCCTCCCGAGACGGGGGCCGGGGCGCCCGTCGTGCTTTCCGATGCGCTGCCGCTGCGCCCGTGCGTCGGGGGGTTCGGCGGCCCCCGGGCGCCAGGGAGATCCCGATGGCGACGACGACCACCCCGATGACGGCAGTGACCGAGCCCAGGAGCTTGCCGGCGACCGTGTGCGGCACCATGTCGCCGTAGCCCACGGTCGTGAGGGTTGAGATGGCCCACCTGGGGAGGACTGGGGGTAACGAGGAAGATGATGAGGATGAGGAGGAGGAGGAGGAGGAGGAAGAGGAGGAGGAAGAAGAGGAGGAGGAGAAGGAGGAGGAGGAGGAGGAGGAGGAGGAAGGAGTAGGAGGATGAGGAATGAATGAAGGAAGGAAGGCAGGAAGGAGGAGCAGGAGGAGGGAGGAGAAGTAGGAGGAACAGTAGGAAGAGGGAAAGAGGGGGGGGGGGAGAGGATGAGGAGGAGGAGGAGGAGAGGAGGAGGAGGAGAGGAGGAGGAGGAGGAGGAAGGGGGAGGATGATGATGATGAGGAGGAGGAGGAGGAACATGAGGAGGAGGAGGCGGGGGACAAACTTGATGGTACACCCTGCTCTTCTAGACAGGGGGGGAGAGGAGAGGAGGGAGGAGGAGGAGGAGGAGGGGAGGAGGAGGAGAAGGAGGAGGAGGAGGAGGAGGAGGAGGAGGAAGAGGAAGAGGAGGAGGAGGAGGAGGAGGAGGAGGAGGAGGAGGAGGAGGAGAAGGAGGAGGAGGAAGAGGAGGAGGAGGAGAAAGAGGAGGAGGAGGAGCAGCAGCAGCAGGAGGAGCAGACTAATACTGTCACGCAGCTCAAATTGGGAGCGGCCTCAGTCAGGAATGAGCGACACCTCGGGATCGACCTCGCGTGTGGAAGAGGTGTGTTGCGACGTGTGCGACGGGATCGCATGGGAGCGGTCCGTGCGCGAGGTAGTCGTATGAGAAAGTTTCATTGCGATGCACATAAACGTGCTGTTGCGCAGCGTGTGGCACGAATATGGAGGCGGGGCGTCGTATGGGTCTTCAGTCACGGGCACGTCCTGGTCAGAGCTTGCGCCTGTGCGCAGTCTGACGTTCATGGCAGTGGAGCTCCGCACTGCAGGCCAATCGTGCACGATGGCGCTGGTGCTGGGTAAAGAGGCCGACCCGATCTTCCGTGCGACCCGCCTCCCCCTGCTGGCGCTTGGCAGAGCGCCGCAAGTCCTGGGCGCCAGTCATCGCGTATGGCCTCCAGCAGGGCCTCAAGGTGGAGCACGGGTCGCAGGCTCAGGGGCCCTTCGGGGGTGTTCGAAGCAGGACGCGCTGACATGGATCATGCACGGCGGCGTGTCCTCCGATGTTCGTAAACGTTCGGTGTGATATCTGCGCGAGCTGGTATGCATGGGCATAGAGGCGTAGCGGAGGCAGACGCTGACCCGCACTGAAGGCCTTGAGCATCTGTCTGAGGGGGCTGCCTCGTTTCCCCTCGTGCGTCTCTTGAACGTGGCTCTGGGCTCCAGTCGGCCGAGTGTAAGGCGATGGGTAGCCTCACTGTTGAGCAGCGACCCTGCCTGCGCAGTGCAATGATCGGTGGGCAGTGGACCGTGGTCAGAAAGTGCGAAGCGGGCTTGTTTCTAGCGCTGGATGTCTCCTCTGTCCTGGGGTCGGGTCCCTGGTCCACCGGCACTACGAGTGCCAGGAGCAGGGGAAGGACCCCCCATGCCCGCTGGTTTCGAAATCCTTTTGGTCAGGCTGCCGCACCCGCAGGTGCAGCGCCTGCTCGAGAGGGCGCTGTGGCCAGCGCCCCTGGCCCCAGCCAGTTTCCAGATTCTCACTTATGATTGCATCACGTGGCATAAGCATGGTGGTGACGGCATAATCGAAGCGAACGATTTGTTCTTGATGGCTCGCTGTACGAATGTGATTGGGGGCGGGTGAGCTCCGGGGGGTAGACGATCGTTGCTCTGCATCACGAGGACCCGCTGGGCGGACGAGATGTCATCCACGGCGTGCTTCCCTTTCTGTATCGTGATATTCACGGAGCGGGACTGTGTGGCCTGCTCAACGCCCACGTTGGCGGCGACGGACTCTGAGTTTGTCTGCGGCGGCGTGAATTTGCGTGGTCCCGTTGCGACCACTGCGCATTGCTCGGCCTGGGCTGGCCGGTGGCGTGATTTTTGGGCGGCCCTCCAGGACTTCCAGCTTCGGGAAGTCAAGGCCAATCTGTCCGAGACGGACGTGGACAGTGTGATGGTTTCCAGAAGGGGCCGCTTCGGAACTACTGTGCTGATGCGTGGCCGAAGCATGTTGCTTCGAAGTACAGGCTGCCGCCAGGTGCCCGCGAGACATCTGGTAAGTTTATGTTCTGGTCGAAGACTGTGCGCACCGGATCGCGCGCGCAGGCGCCGCTGTGAATTCGATCGACACCGTCGCGCTGCGTCCTGGGGCCAGGGCTTTGAGCAAGGCCCCTGGGGGCCTGGTCATGGTGCCCCCCAAGCTCGACCACGATCTGCTCGGGCCCCCAGGGGCGAAGTGGTGTGTGCGGTGTCGGGTTTCCCAGCCATCGGCCTCTGAGTGTCCAGGGTCGGCGGTGTCCAGGTCGCCAACAGAGTGTTGCGAAAAGGAAGAGGGGTGGGTCCCAGGCTTGTCCCAGGCTGGCGCACTGCCGCACGCCAGCCGAATGTCTTTTCTTTCTGTCGGGCGATTTCACAGCCCCTGGTGACTCTGATCTACTTTGGCTTCCGCTCACCTACGGTGCACTAGCTACCGCCCGTTTTCCCTCTGGCGACGCCCCCTCCCATCGGGGCTGGGGCCTACCCCGGACTCGACGGGCCCCCAACCGCGACTCCCGCCCGTGAGATGCGATCAGGCGCTGCCAGCTAAACCACTCCGCGCCGCGATAGCCGAGCACGCGCGGCGCCCAAGCCTGCGCGTCGTGTCCGCGGCGGACGCGGGCGTCCCACGACACCTGCGCCTTCGCCCGCGCCTGGCTCCAACGCCCGGTCCGCGCGGCCAGGGGCTGGGCGAACGTGCGGCGCCGCAACACGAAGGCGCCCCAATCCTCGTTCGGCGCCGGCCGGATGTCGAAGGTGATGGCAAGGAGCTTGCGCTGCAAGCGGTCGGGGCTGCTGGCGTACGTTCTCTGGTAAGGCCACCGCGAGAATCGATACTCAGCTATGCTCAATGCGCCACTGGTCAGGAACCGGAGCTTCGCACCCTCGTTTGCCCGGCGCAGACCTGTATCCAGATTGCCGAAGAACGCTCGGAGCATCGCCGCCGTGGCCGCCGCATAGCACGAGGTGATGCCACCATTGTTGTCAATTATGTGGCCCGGCGTCTTCATGTGCTCCTTCTTGTCCCAGCTGCGCGGCGAGACTACGTTGTCGCGCCCGCCCTTGCAAATGAGGTATTCCCGGGAGTCCTCCCCGATCTGCAAGTTCCAGCGCCGACTGAGCTGCTCCGCGCAATCGTCCTGAATGCGGATGGCGGCGGACGGATCCCGGGACGCTGCGAGGAGGTTGTCAACGAAAGATGCTAACCTTGTGCCTTCGAAGCCGAGGGGCTGCCAGTAATGCATGCGCTGAGATGCCACGTCCGGAAGAGGGGCGCGCCCGGCTGCGCCGGCGCTCCGGGAGCCAGTGTGCATACCGACGGTGCGGGCCCTCAGCGTTGCGAAAGCAGACCCCGCGCTGAGCACGACGAGTGGGCAAGCATGCAACTTCACCAGGGTGGCGGCCTCGTCAGACGAACCGGTTTCGCCCCTAAGCCACCTGGCGACGCGAACCGCTCGCAGGGCGTCGCAGTACTTCCGCGCATCCTGCTGGCAGGCGCAGCCCTTGGATTCGTCGCCCATGCCTTTCTCGATGACGAGCGGCAGCGGATGAACGGCATCTAACGTCTGGCGCCTGCTCTCGGCGCACTCCAGGCACGGCGAAATCGACGCGGCCGGCAAGACGCGGGCCGCGTACCCGTCGACGATGTCGTGCACGCGCTTTGCCAAGAGGTAGTCGACGACCGCCAGCACCACTGGCAAGGGAAGTATGGTGCGGACCTTGGTGGGCGGGATGGCTCCGGGGCGCTTCGCGCTCGCCCTGCCCAGGATGACAAGGTTGCCCATTGGCTTCTCGCGAGGTCGAGGAAAGCATTGTGCACGGCGTCCGGCCGGGCCTCGTAGAGGAGCCGGAGGGCTGCGACCGTGATGCCGTTGTTGTCCATAACCGCTGCATGGCGGGGGCCCGCGAGCGCATCTGCGAGCTCTTTCTTGGAGAAGGTTATGCTGGCGTTGCCACATGACCGCAGGAAGTCGTTCTGCACGCTCAAACGGTGCGGGTTGCCGCACCGCCACAAAACGCGGAACTCGGCCTCGATCATGGAGGCCCACTCCTGGTGGTCGACGGTCTCACCTCCGTCTGGTGCTTGCATGGCTCGGAGCGGTAGAGGCTTCTTGGACTTCCAGTTCACCTTGCCTTCGTTCAGTCCTTGCGCTTGGCGGATCTGTCGAAGCGTGGTGAGCCAAGTGACGCGGGCTGTATGCAGTTCCCTCCGAAGCCGTTGCTGCTGGCGCCTGTCTGTGGCCGCCCTGGCACGGCGTCGTAGCTCTTTGACCGCTGGAGGTTCCCTGGTGCTCCGGCGGGCTTCGCATGCACGGCTGTCAGCGCTCTCGTGCTGGAGCTGGGCGACCCAGGCCATGAGGTCAGCGGTGTTCTGGAAGGTCTGAGGCGCGCGCGTCTTCGCCCGCGCGACGGCGGCCTGGCCGTCCCGGCATCTCCACGTTGAGGGGCCCACGATCGTCCGTGTCGCCTAGCCGACGTCTGCGTAGGCAGCGATTGCCGCATGGTCCGAATAGAAATCCGCCGACCCCTTGTGGGTCTCTAGGCGTGCGAGATAGTTCCCCTCCCCTATAGTCCCCCCCCAGGGACCCCAAACCGGAGATTTGACCCCCCCCTGATGGCCCCCCCCCCCGGCCCGGCACGAGCGACTCACGGGGCTCTTTTGGGCCCAAAAGGGGCTCCAGACGAGCCAAGAAGGCCCCAAGAGGCCTCCAAAACGGCCCACGATGGCCCCGAGACGCCAAACGAGCGCTCCAAGACGCCCACGATGGTCCCAAGACGAGCCAAGAGGCCTCCAAGACGGCCCAAGAGGCCTCCAAGAGCAGTCCTCAGAAGAGCCGACGAGCCGAAAATCGTCAAATTCCTATGGTAAAACGTACATTTTGATCATTTCCGACTTG